TCTTTTGATACCTCTGACCTCCGTGCAAGCCATGACACTGATTGATAGCACTGCTTCGTTTGCGAAACGGTGCTCAGATATTGACGAGTCTGGAGCTTTGCTGGAAGGGTTGAAAAATCAAGGTGTGAGATGTTTTTCAGCGTTGGCATTCACCATTGGAACACCTCAGACTGCACCATCGGATAGACAGTATGATGAGTTAGCAGCTAAGATTTTTGGAGCCGACCCCACTTTGGGGCAAGTGTCAAGTTTGAGACGTTTGCACTTCGAGGCAACAACTTTGATTGTGGCTTCACTGAACGAACAGGTCAAGTCAGACTCGGCAGATCCAGGTACCTTGGTTAAGAAGTTGCCGGCAGCTGAGAAACAGGCACGGCTAGAGAAGCAGCAAGCGAGGCTCTCAGGTTTGAAGTTGATTGGAGAACTAGCTCCAAGCCATCAGCTGCTGGATCTGGTGAATTCAATATTGGAAAGTGGAGCAATCATTTGGGTAGCTCCTTCCCGATGTTCGAAGAGAGATGATGAAATCCATGCCAATATCAAACCTGGCTCAACCACGGTACAGGTCGAGAACTCAACCTGAAGTTGGCACAGGTACCAGTGACAACGACGGCGGACGTTGGCTCGGAACTGAAGCTTTACTGGGCGTATCAACGCCGTGGATTAGCTTTTGACAACTGCAGGCTTTTAGACTGGCACATACATGAGGTTTGGGTGCAGTATTTGTTGAGCGCTATGGCCCGTGATTACCCGGCAGGTTACAGCTCAGTGAGGAGTGAACAGGTGATCAAAGCAGATCGTGAACTATGGACGATCTTAGCACAGGAGTTCAAGGAATCATTGAAACCAACAAACGATGTGCCGGCCCTCAACCAGGCCTTCAAGGCACTGACGACGGACCCCCGGGTGACGATGTATTTGCTGCCAGTACCCTCCTCAGTGCCGAAAGTCTCAAATGCAACAACTGCAGGGCCTCCAAAGGTTCAGCCGGCTGCAAAGCAACAGCCAGGGCCAGGGATCAACAAAAAACGGAAGTTGACAAGGGCACAGAAAGGTTGCCCACAGGAGCTCAAAGACTTCGACCTGAAGTTCAGTCAGGGCACTGTCAATGGCCCTATCTGCTGGGGTTACAATTTGAAAGCCGGTTGCCCAAATGAAACATCCAGCCAAAATGGATTCAGCCGTTGCAAACGTGGCTACCATGTTTGTGCCAATTGCCACAAGCCTGGTCACAGTGTTGTGACCTGCAGGTCTTTGAAATCGAAGGCTTGAAGGGAGGGCCCAGAATCTGCGCACAAGAGGATACGTTTGAATCATTCTGACAATTCATGTGATTCTATAATGGATTCCAATGCAGATCAAGGGCCACAGGTTTTTGCAGATTTTCCAGCGGCGCAGCACAAGGCAAAACCGCAACAAGCGTCGCACCAATTTTCAGGTTTGGGACTGCAGGATTTGCTTGTGGTTGAAATATGTGCAGGCAGTGCACGGCTTACAAAAACGGTGAGGGCAAAGGGCATGCGAGGCTTAGCAATTGACAAGACAAAAAGCAGAGGTTGTGGAACTGAAATCATGGTGCTGGACTTGACCTTAGAGCAGGACTTGCGAATTTTGTTGCAACTGTTGAGATCAGAGTCAAAATGTATTGCACTGGTTTTTATTTCACCTCCATGTGGCACCGCAAGCAAAGCTAGAGAGCGTCCCATCAAAGCTTCTTTGCTGTTTGGTCAAAAACAACCTGAACCCCTGCGAACTTCAGGAAAACCTGACCAAAAGGACATGTTGTCAGGCTTGGACAAGGTCAAGACTGAGTTGGCCAACCAACTGTATGAGGCAGTCACTGCTATCGTGTTGGAGTGCGATAAGCTTGGGTTATGGGTTCTGGTTGAGAACCCAAGAAACAGTTTATATTGGGACACAAGCTTTGCAAGAAGGTACATACAAGCAATCGAGACCTTTTGGATCGACTTTCACAACTGTGCGCATGGAGGACAACGAGACAAGTTGACCCGACTTTGGTCAAATAGGTCTTGGGGCAAAACGTTGGAACTGTTTTGTGACAAGAGGCATTCTCATGCGTCTTGGAAGCCAAAAATCGTCAATGGAAGGTTATCCTTCCCTACTGCAGAAGAGGCAGCGTACCCTTGGTTGTTTTGCGAGCGTGTTGTGCACCTGGTGGAACAACTTGCAGTTGAAAATGGATGCGACGTTCATCATAACCTGCATGAGCAAGTTGGAGCGAAGCGCCTAACAAATTTTCAAAGATATGTTTTTGATGCACTGCCACGCTCTTCCACTCTTAAACCGTTGGTTGGAGAATTTGGCCGCTACATCACACTGGCGGTAAACCCTCAGAACGCAGGTTTCCTTGAGTCAATTTTGAAAAAGTTGCCCAAGGGGTCAAAAATTGTTTCTCGACAGCTCTTACCTTGGGAAAATTTTCGGGTCGAGATGGCTGACAAGCTAGAATTGGAAAGCTGGCCTGATAAAGGAGCCGACGGTCCAGAGAACGATCAAAAAGCGGTGGTGGAAGGTTGCAGTTAGACGTGTCTAATAGCTGTTTATAAACAAGACCTTGAAGCCTTTTTAAGGCGGCCCGAAAAAAAAAAGTTTGACAAACAACAAACCTGTGAACTTTTAAGTTGTGTTTGGACATGGTCGCATTGCGTACTCATGCACGTACGTATTGCACATGTTGCGTGTATATACATGTTTTGGTAATATATGGACTGATGACGTATGTCATGCTTGTGCTTCTCCCAAACACTTCCTTCTGAACTCATGATCTATCTCTATGTGAATGTACCTCAAGATGCAGGGTAGGGTAGGGTGGGACACCAACAAAGCTGTTGGGTCAAATTTTCTTGATGGATGCTTCCCAGCTACAAGGTTTGTCGGGGCCACAATTACTGACGCTCCTCTTCACATTGCTCTGCGAAGTCGCCCGACGACTCCGCATTCCCATCACGGTGGGTGCACAGATCGGTGACATCGACGAGGAAAGCGGAGTAACACATGGCCCAGACGCAGCTGACAGTGGAATGGCCGCAGATACAACAGGCTTACATTCTGCGGGATCCTCAACGGTACACCCATGGTCAGTACCGTCCCCTGGAACGCCCGAAGGGCCACTTCCTGAAGAACAGTGCCATTATGTTTGCAGCATGTGTGGCTGCAACGCGTTTTGCGCCAACACAGCCAGGAACCATGTACGGCATCGATGTGCCTCTCACACATGGTTCTAACCAGGTGACCATGGCACTTTTGGCTCCAGCCGCAGTGGCTCTGACAGTTTTTACAATTGGACTATTTCTTGTCCTAATGTCCCTAAAGCTCGAGGGGGGTTTTTCTCTTGATGACGAGCTCACTGGTACAGACACATCACAGTCTTGCATGCTTTTCAGACAGCCGTACTTGAAAAACAGTGCCGGCAACTTGATACTGTCATGTGACGCTAAGATGTACGACCAAATTGAATTGGTTGGGAATGTGCGTGGAGTGCTGTTGAGAATTGTTGGGGTCGCGACTCTTGTGCTGCTGTTGGAGCAACCCCGACCGGAACCTTTTGTGTTCCTACTTGCAATCGTTTCGAATTACAATCGCAGTGAGAAGTTTCTGCACGATGCGCATTTATGTCCATGGGTCGAGGAGATCTGCTTTGGGCTGAAATACGTTTACAAGAAGTGGATGATGATATTTTTCGTGAATGTCATGGCTTTTGTGACGATGCTGTTTCAAATTTTGGCTGGTTCGTTGGAGATTGCAACAGAAGGACTGGTCGAGTCTGTGTTTGATGCATTGGTAAGCAGGTCATCGAGTTCCTCCACTGCAGAGCAGGGCCCATGTCGTTATGCATATGATTTTGCAATGACACGAGTGTTGGCAGTCCGCCACTGGAAGAGTACAGGGTCTACGACTTCATTAAGGGGTAGTCATTGGAAATGTTTTGTGGATTCACTTTCAATCCTGACACAATGCATTCTTGGATTTGTGCTGCAACAGCTGTCGTCTGATGACGGCGTGCTGGCCCTGCGTTTTTCAAACCGTGGATGGGATGAAGAAGTTGACATGATCCTTCGGGAGGAGACCGTGAGGCGTTGTTGGACGCCCTATCCCTTGGGAAGGTTTTCTATGTGAGGCGCATGGCCTCCGGATGCAACCATTGCTGGATGAATGGGGGTGGCACACACCCCCCTTTGGTGGAGCTATGTCTGCCCAATGTTAGCTCCCGAGCGACCTCTGGAGTTCTTTCATTCTTCTATGGTACATGATTCAAGGACCTTCGGTCGTGAAAATATGCTGCTGGGGTGGTGTGAACTTGTACTTTGATCCGTTTTTGTGGGGTTTCAAATTTTGTGTCATGTTGATGCCAGTTTTTCATGAATGCTTGCCGTCATATGCAGTGACGTCCAGTATGATGCAATGCAATGTTGACCGCCTGATGCAAGGTGTTCACATGAAATTTTATCGAGGTTATTTCGAAGTCTCGGCTCCAGCTTGCACCATGTCTTATAGCGACAGCAAGGCAGTTTTCAAAAAGAGGTTTCTGGAAGTTGGTCTTACTGATGCTAACTATGAAGCCTTCAATGCAGAAGGCCTGAACACCTTGGGAACGTTTGCGTTCTCATGCAACTATGCTCCAGGGACCGCGGATGAGAGGCCGCTTGTCACGTTGGCCACAAATGTGTTGGGAAGTGCACCTTCTACTAAAGAAATGGCATGCATTAGGAGGTTGTTCAGTGAAGCCTACTCGACTATTGCTGCTGATATTCGGTCAAAGGTTGAGGCTTCTGACGAGGCTTCGGTGAAGAAGCTTGCACCTGCAGAGAGGTCCCAGCGTTTGAAGGATCAGCAGACCAGGTTGTCCGGCCTCGACCTTAGAGGAAATTACGAACCTGGAGACTCACTTGTGGATCGAGCCGTTGCTGCTTATGAATCAGACAGGGTTTCGTACATACCATGGGATGTTTGCGTTTCTCGTGACCATGAAATAGTCACAGGGACTAAGAAAGATGCAAACCTCAGCTTTGATTCCTCAGGCACTTTGAAGTTATCCAAGCGCGACCAGGTTGAACCGTGTAGCACTGGAAATGAGATGCAGGTGCGCTACTGTCTCATCCGAAGACGTTTGGCGCTCGATCAGGCCAATATTATGTGTTTCAAGTTGCATGATCGTTTGGCAGAAAAACTCATGAATGCCCGTATGGAAGAACCACCAAGCGGTTGCCTGAAGCTCAGCCTGAAACAGATTGAGACAGCAGATAAAAAGTTTTGGACACTCATGGCAGAAAAGACGCGTGATGGTATCAAGTCTGGCCCTGCAGGCCGTCCATGTGATGAGAATTTTGATGCATGTTTGGATAGTCCTGAGTTTCTGAACCTTTTGCAGCATCGTTTTGCTCCTCCTGCTTCATCTCCGGGACCTTCCAAGCAGAAACCTTCGGAAGAGCCTGCCACCAAGAAGCCCAAAACGGGCCCGCAGAACTTGAAAGGTGCTTCAAAGGGAAATTTCATGAGAGTCCCGAGTGAGTTGTTGGCCTTGGGATGTGTAGGTGCTACGACCAAAGGCCATCGTTTGTGCTTCGACTACAACTTGAGGAGATGCAAGCTGCCCGTCAAGGATCAGCGCTGCGGCAAGGGATTGCACTTGTGCGCGGTTAAAGGTTGTCGAAAGATGCACATGGCAGTTGAGTGTCCCGATAAGGGAAATGCTGCGCGGGAGTGACTAGGTCCCGCATTGGGTGCCGAATCCATGGGCGCTGATGACCGCTCTCGGAGCCCAGTCAATGCAAGACTGGGAGCCGGGGGCCAACCTTCAAAGAAGGCTGTCATGTCAGCTGAATTTGTCGCTGCTGAAATGCCTGCAGCCCAGTCCGAAACGGACCATGTTGCTTCATGTTCTTCTTCAAGAGATTCACATGGAGAATTTGATTTTGATGGTTTTGGTGGCGGTACCACAGATAGGCAAATGGTTTTCATCGAGTTGTGCGCTGGTAGCGCTGTTTTGAGTGCTACCGCCCAGAGGCATGGGTACAGAGTTCTCCCAGTTGACTGCAAGAGGAATCGACATAAGCCTCGGTGTCGCATTGTCTCCTTGGATTTGTCAGAGGCCCATGCTTGGGAGGTTTTGGAGTACATTGTCGACACTTGCGATGTGGCGGCGGTGCATTTGGCGCCACCTTGTGGAACATGCAGCAAAGCAAGGGGTATACCCATGCCCGATGGGTCGCCCGGGCCTCAGCCTCTTCGTACGGCTGAACATCTACTTGGAGTGCCAGACATGACTCCTCTTGACAGGATCAAGGTCAATGCTGCCAACATGCTGTATGAAAGAATGGGCAAGTTCATAGAATGGCTGGATTCCAAAGGCGTTGCATGGGTGCTCGAAAATCCAACAAACAGTTTCTTGTGGGAGCTTGGCTATTTCTCTTATGCTGTGCAACATGGGTATTTTGCGCATTGTCATGCTTGCGCATACGGGAGTTCTAGGCCGAAGAAGACCTCCTTTCTGAGCAACAGATCTTGCATTCACATGATGCAAAAGTTTTGTGGGGACGTGGAACCTCACGAACATGCTCCGTGGGGCATTTCTGCTGATGGAGGTTTTGCAACGGCGTTGGAAGCCCAATACCCGGATGCTATGTGTGAACAATTGGTGAAATTTGTGGATGAATTGTGCTCCGACAAGGGCATCAAGATATCGCCTGCGAGCTTGCAGCAACCTCGAGCGCACAGGCAGCCCAGGGGTCGAGCTACGCCTCAACTCATTCCTGAGTATGAGCTAGTCGTCAGTCTGCTACTTCACAATACCCCGGCCCTTGACTCAAAGCGTTGTTTGATACAGCCTTGTAGAAATGTCCCAGTTGGGAGCAAGCTCCTGCGTTCCGAGAAGAAGGGGAAGATGGTCTTGTGCATTTTTGGTGTTTTTCATACATGTGAGAAGTTCGTGCAGGTTGCAAAGTCGCTCTGGCACCCTTTCGATTTGGCGGCCCACATGCCAGACCATTTGCTCAGGTGTCTTTTTGAACATCTGACCAAGTCCCCTATGGATCTTGTCAAGTTGAGGATCCAGAGGTTGAAACTGTGGACATCCTGGGCGCGTGACTTGGCCAAAGACGAGAGCGAATACAAGTTGACATTAGACCCCAGGGTGAGAGCAGTCCTGGGAGCAAAGCGCCTGCTCCTCATGAAGAAAGTTGCGGAAGAAATTGGATGGCCTGACACTGAGTTGTTCAGCGAGCTTGCAACTGGTTTCAGACTGGTTGGTAATGCGACTCGGTCGAACGTTTTTCAACAGGGCCTCAAGGCCGCGACACTTAGCGAAGAACAACTCATGCGTGATGCAAAGTTCCTCAAGCCTGCTTTGCTTGGGAAGATTCGTGCCAGTGGAGGTGGCGAGCATTCAAGTGCACTTTACGACATCACTGTCGCCGAGGCAAAAGAGAAGTCGTGGCTTAAGGGTCCTTACAGCCCTGTCGAAATGGATCAGCGCTACAGTGGGCGGTGGTTGCCGGTCAGGAGGTTCCCTGTGGTCCAGAAGGACAAGCTTCGCCCAATTGATGATCTGCGTGAAAATAGGGTCAATGACACCTTTTCAAGCACGGAGAGGGCGACCTTGTATGCTTTGGATCACTTGGTCTGGGCGTCTATTTTCTTGATGCGTTTCTACAGGTCTGGGGGTCATGTTTCTTTCACATTGTCTGATGGGACGGTCCTGGATGGGTGTGTCCATCCGGAGTGGCTGGCTATGCCGCCTGATCTGAGGATCACTGCAATGGACTTGAAGTCCGCTTACAAGCAACTTCCTCTGAGCCCCTTGGATTTTGACAAATCCATCGTTTCCTTGTGGAGCGTCAAAGACAGGGATGTCAAGTGTTTCGAATGCCACGTCCTTCCGTTCGGGGCGTCGGCAAGTGTACACAACTTCTTGCGCGTCAGCGCTTTCTTGCAGGCTGCGGGGTGCCACCTTGGCATCATTTGGATGAGTTATTTCGACGACTTTCCGATGTTGTCGCACAGCCTGCATACTGGTTCTACTCTTGCATGCGCAAGGGGAATGATGTCCCTGTTCGGCTTCGTGTACTCTGAGGAGAAGCTTTTGCCGTTTGAGCGCAGCGCCGAGATCCTTGGCGTGGTGTTCGACCTTGGCCTTAGCAGCGAGGGCCGTGTCTCCATCTCGAATAAGCCCTCCAGAGTGGAGGAGTTGAATGATGCCTTGCTTGGCATATTGAATGAAAAATTTGTGATTCCGACTTCTATGCCGTCGGTCCTGGGGAAGTTGCAGTACGCCGACTCACATGTTTGGGGCAGAGCTGGAAAACTTGCTCTTGCTGACTTACGGGAGTTGGGGCATACTTCTCCTTCGAAGGTCTTGCTTGAAGAATCCCAGCTCAAGGCGTTTGAGACTCTCAGGTGCCGGCTTTGCTCAGGCCGACCAAAGACTTTCCTTGCTGATGACGTAGAGAAGCCAGTCTTGATCTTTACTGACGGGGCTCTGGAATATGAAGGTGATGCTGCAAAGGCGACCATTGGCGGGGTTTCCCTAAAGCCGGATGGCGCTTGCGAAGTCTTTGGTTGCGCAGTCCCGGACGATGTCTTGAAAAGGTGGCAAGACGGCGGAAAGACTCATGTGATTGGCCTCGTTGAATTGTATGCCTGCGTCGTCTCGCTCTTGCATTGGAAGCCTGACGTGTCGTCCAGACGCGTCATCCTCTTTGTCGACAATTGGCCTGCGCTTGATGTTTTGGTCAAGGGCACGTCGCTCCAGCCTGAATGGAGAGAGCTTCTTTTGCTTCTTGAGGACCCGGTGGAAGACAACTTCATGCTTTGGATCGCACGCGTGCCTTCAGCTTCGAATGTTGCAGATCACCCTAGCAGAGGGTCTCTCAAGGAGCTTGAGTTTCTGAGGCCTTACAAATGCGTACAGCCGTTTTGCCCAGTGACGAAGCTTCCTTTAAAATCCACAGTGTGCTAAAGCTGACCGGGGTGATGTGAATGAAACCGGACATGCAGTCCTGAAAACCAATGCAATGATTTTCTCAGGAGTTTCTCAATGCCGAGGAACCACAAGTCGATGGAACATGCAAACCATATGCGAGAGACATTTCACCCTTGTCCGCCAGATGAGAAAAGTGTGAGTGGAGCGAAACTTTGTCGATTGCATGTTTTCTCATTTATGTTTTTGCGATGTTTTTCGATGTTGCATGTTTTTCTTTCACGTTTGTTTTCGTGCGATGAGTTTTCTTTGTGCAGTTGTTTTATCCTCATATGCTTCGTATGCGTTTGCGAATTATATATGACTACTATGTATGTTTATGTTGGATAACTCCGTGCTATGCCGTTTGCGGAGTTCGTGCTATGCCGTTATGTGAGGGACAAGGTCTGTTTATAAGGTTGCAGTTAGACGTGTCTAATAGCTGTTTATAAACAAGACCTTGAAGCCTTTTTAAGGCGGCCCGAAAAAAAAAACAAAATGTTTGACAAACAACAAACCTGTGAACTTTTAAGTTGTGTTTGGACATGGTCGCATTGCGTACTCATGCACGTACGTATTGCACATGTTGCGTGTATATACATGTTTTGGTAATATATGGACTGATGACGTATGTCATGCTTGTGCTTCTCCCAAACACTTCCTTCTGAACTCATGATCTATCTCTATGTGAATGTACCTCAAGATGCAGGGTAGGGTAGGGTGGGACACCAACAAAGCTGTTGGGTCAAATTTTCTTCCCGCCCAAATGTACTATGTACCCGCCCTGGGTGATGTGAATGAAACCGGACATGCAGTCCTGAAAACCAATGCAATGATTTTCTCAGGAGTTTCTCAATGCCGAGGAACCACAAGTCGATGGAACATGCAAACCATATGCGAGAGACATTTCACCCTTGTCCGCCAGATGAGAAAAGTGTGAGTGGAGCGAAACTTTGTCGATTGCATGTTTTCTCATTTATGTTTTTGCGATGTTTTTCGATGTTGCATGTTTTTCTTTCACGTTTGTTTTCGTGCGATGAGTTTTCTTTGTGCAGTTGTTTTATCCTCATATGCTTCGTATGCGTTTGCGAATTATATATGACTATATGGATACGCTATGTATGTTTATGTTGGATAACTCCGTGCTATGCCGTTTGCGGAGTTCGTGCTATGCCGTTATGTGAGGGACAAGGTCTGTTTATAACTATGCAGGTATGGCATTCCTTCTGAACCTCATGAGTTTGTGCAAAGAGCTTTGAAGGCAGGACATCCAAAAGATTTGATGGGTCAGGTAAGCCAGCTTTTGCAGGAAACAATTTCCAGCAATTTTCACCGTCCACCTCACTTGTTGTCAAAGGAAAGGGTTGACTTTGTTAAGAAATACTCAGCTTTGGCAATGGAGCTGAAAGCGGAAGAACTGAAGCTGAGGTATCAAATGCCTGACCACATAAAGAGGTTGATGCAAGGGAAACGCCTGGCGTTGTGGGGAAAAATGCTGACTGACTTGAATTACCCCGACACAGAGCTCATCAGCGACATGGTGCGTGGTTTTCCATTGAGCGGGTGGATGCCTACAAGTGGCGTTTTTCCACATGGTGTCAGACAGCCCACATTAACGGTGGAGGCACTTCTGGAAAGTTTGGAATCGTTCAATTTCAAAGTTAAGCAACAGATGGACATGAGACAAGATGAGACCCTGGAAAGGGATACCTGGGACGAGACGGTGAAGGAGTTGGACAAGGGCTGGATCTGGTTGGATCCTTGCCAGGACTGGGATGGTAAATGTGTGGCAAGGAGGTTCGGAATCCACCAAGGTGGAAAGACAAGGGTTATAGACGATTGTTCAGTCTGCGGCCTCAATCAGACAGTTGGTTTGCAAGAGCGTTTTGTTTTGCAGGCGGTTGATCAGATGTGTACAATGTTGTGCTGGAGTCTGAAGCAGGCAATGCCAGGGCAACACCCCCAGTTGTTGGGAGGACTTTTGACTTAAAGTCCGCATACAAGCAGTTTGGATTGCGGACAGAAGACAGAGATCTGATCAGGATTGCAACAGTTGATCCCATTAAGGGAAAGCCTATTCTTTGTGGACTCAATGCTCTCCCCTTCGGAGGGGTTGGATCTGTGGCTGGGTTTTTACGAGTTTCTCTGGCCACTTGGTTTGTGGGTGTAGCAGGTTTGAAGTTGTGCTGGACGGGGTACTTTGACGACTTCTCCACCCTCTCTAGACCCGAGTTGCAAAACAATACAGCCTGGGCGGTGGACAGCTTGTTTGGCCTCCTTGGTTTGGACTACGCCCACGAGGGTGCTAAGGCACCGGAATTCTCTGCAGTCTTTAAGATGCTGGGAGTGCAGGTGGATACTTCTAGGGCTCAGCAGGGCCAAATATCCGTGGGCCACACAGCTGAAAGGAAGCTCGAGTTGGGCCAAGCTTTGGAAGAGACACTTTCAAACAAGAGGTTATCTACAAAAATGGCAGAGCGACTCCGAGGGCGTATGGTCTTTTACGAGTGTTTTGCAGCGGGTCGCACAACAAACTTGCTTTTGAAGAATTTTGGAAACTTGTGCAGGTCTCAGAGGTTTGTCGAGGACCTCACTGAGGATGAATGTGACCTCATCCTTGCTTTAAGGAATAGAGTCGAGAGAGCGGAACCAATTGTGATTTCTCCAAAACTTCTGGACACATGGTTTGTATTTACAGATGGTGCTTGTGAGACAGGTGAAACTGGAGGAAAGCTTGGAGGAGTGGGTGGCGTTTTGGTTTCAGCGAACGGGACCTACCTACAACACTTTGGCATGCAAGTACCAGAAGACTGGATGCAGGTCCTCCTTCAACACTCGTCGCATCCGGTCCATGAGCTTGAAGTGTTGCCCGTCCTCATCTCCTTTCATGTCTGGTCTCATTTTTTGCGTGGATCACAGGTACTTCACTATACAGACAACGATTCTTGTCGTTTTGCTTTGATGAAAGGGGTCGGCGAGACCTTTGTAGCCAGACGCCTTGTCGCCTCAATCATGGACCGTGAGTATGCCCTTCAAACCAAGTCTTGGTACGGCCGTGTACCGAGCCACAGCAATCCTTCAGATGATCCGAGCCGTGGATCTTTCGATGCCCTGGTTGCGAGAGGTAGCCAAGTGATTGGCATCCCGTGGTGCGAGTTGTTGTCTTGCCTACCATCCCAAATGGGGGAGAGGACGGGGTAATGCGACAACAGCCCCGTGGTGTGAAAATGAGGGAGTCCGATTCACATGTCAGCTTGCTTGAATTTGAATTTCAGTGATATGACATTGTGGTGCTGTGTGTTTCATGTCTTTTTGGGCAGTGATGTTTCCGTTTGATTTGGCGATTCGACGACGGCGTACGGCGATGCGTATTGATATCATATGTATATATGGTTATGTATACGCTGTATGATATCTCCCCGATATGTACCCAGTTACATATTATTATGTTATGGGTATCTAGTGCGTTGGCAGGCGTGGAGGTTTTGTGTGGCAGGTTGGCTGCCTTGTCCTAGTAAAATAAGGGTGCCCTCCGTTGAGGTACGAAAAAAGGATAAACCTTTATTTTACATGGACTTCTGTTTTTACTTTGGAACTTGGGTTACAAAGTAAAACTGCAGCCTTCAACCTGCCCTTAAATATTTCAACAAAACCTTCCAAATGCTAAGCTCCTTTTTTAAACAAGAACAGTGAAGAACTGTTTCCTGTGTCGAAAAGAAACTGTTTGGGAAACAAACAAATCTGTGTGGGATGCAGAACAGTAGCGGCTACTTGAAACTCAACTACAAACAAGTGGTAACTGAATCTTTGTTTGTGGTGGCCTTTTTGGTTTCAAGTTTGTTGGGTGCGTGTTTTGCCAATGGTTGGCGAAATTTCGACCCTCCCCGCGTTGCTCCCACCCATTTCGACAAATATTTCCCACGAAGAGGATAACATCCATTCGTGATACCTGTAACGAAGAGGATCACATCCATTCGTTTAGCCTAACCCTACCGTCCGAGGACGGGGTAATGCGACAACAGCCCCGTGGCGTGAAAATGAGGGAGTCCGATTCACATGTCAGCTTGCTTGAATTTGAATTTCAGTGATATGACATTGTGGTGCTGTGTGTTTCATGTCTTTTTGGGCAGTGATGTTTCCGTTTGATTTGGCGATTCGACGACGGCGTACGGCGATGCGTATTGATATCATATGTATATATGGTTATGTATACGCTGTATGATATCTCCCCGATATGTACCCAGTTACATATTATTATGTTATGGGTATCTAGTGCGTTGGCAGGCGTGGAGGTTTTGTGTGGCAGGTTGGCTGCCTTGTCCTAGTAAAATAAATATGCCAGTCTATTCAAGTAGCTTTGAGCTACGTCTTAACTCACCGTGTTGAGAGACTGGGGTCTGAAGGGGACAAACACATCCATTGGGTGTGTGTTGTCTGCCTCTTGTTTGTGGAAGAAGAAATAGAAAGAGAAAGGAAACAGTTTTTGAAACTAACTCAACCTTTAAACACGTGGCTCAAGGTGAAACCTTGTGAAACTGTGAAGAGTTAGTATATGACACCTCACGCCCTTGTTTTTGGTTTGTGGTGTTGCCGTGTGTAACTGCTGACCTGCTGCTGGACAGACTGTGGAGTGCAAACCGAAAAGGGATCAGACTGAGTGAGGCCATTGGTTTTGACACTTCGTGAACCTTGCGTTTTCGTTTTGTGTTAAGTAACTGCGCGTAAACTTTTGGCAAAATCGGTTTTTATTTTCTACGAGAGCCAGTGAAGACTGGGAGAGAAGCATCTGCGAAAATCGATCATTTGCCGTCCTGCACCAGCTGCAACGATGGTCTTGGACAGACTCCTTGCAGATGCGCAATCACTCGTCCACAATCCAGTCAAATTTGTTGAGGAGATCGTGCAGATGATCAATGATAAACAATCACATCCGGTGATCGGGGAATTCCACTTGGGAGTGGCCAGAATTCCATCAAGACCCCGAGATTGCAAACAACAGC